GGAATCTTGCTACCATTTCACAGAGATTGGAGGTGCTGCAAAACAATATTTTCAAGGGTTCAACAGGCTGCAGAGGGAAGAAGAGATGAGCAAAAAGCATCTCTCCCTCCAATGGGATTTTCCAGCAAGTCTGGATCCAACCAGTGTCTAGAATATGCTTGGTCAGTTTCATTATACCCAAATAAGCTATAACAACTGAATTTACTCCCTGATGATTTTTCATGTGTTTATTTCTGTGCTGCTGTAAAAAAAGATAAAAGAACCACGACCAACTGGCAATTTGCGAAGCAGGGAGGAGAGGTTTGCAAGCATTTCTGTGTCTGATACTGCCTTCTTTAGGATACTACTGAGTATGTGAATTCAGCCCTTTCCTCTTCTTTTTTGTGCTTTTTTTACACTATGCGCCTGCTGGTACTTTGTGAAGTACAACTCTCATGAATGTTGCTATATGACAAGAAAAGCAATGCTTTGGGTTCACTTTTTCTGTCTTACATAACTTTCTGTACATTGCCAGTGATCTTCACATTCAGAACTTCATGGTCCTGTTTTAAGATCACTCTATGACCAACTTTAAACAGGTTTGTTGGCAGGGGATTAACATTTTGCTCCATAACCTTTTAAATACCAGGATATTTTAAATGCAACTTTTAAATGTGATAGCAACTTAAAACCAATTCACTCATGAAAAATGGGATTGTGAGCATTGCTTCCCCCACTTAGGGAGAACAATCCAGAATAACTCATTCATTTTCTGTCATCGGGGCAGCTACTGACTGAGGGCTATCTTCTTAGCATCCTTAGCAGAAATACGGAATTCGGTGCTAGGAAACAGCAAGGCCCACCAGCCCAGAAAAACTTTAAATGAAATCAATGGCAAATGCTGCCATTTCTGCTGCTCTTTTATTTGCAACAATATTTACAAATGCAAGTTGTTTGACAGTGGAACGGACTCCATAAGAAGGTGAACTCTTCCTTCATTGGTGGTTTTTAAGCAGAGGTTGGATGTCTAGCTGTCATGGATACTTCAGTTGAGATTCCTGCATTGCAAGGGATTTGACTAGATGACCCTCAGGATCCCTTCCAACTCTATAAGAAGAAGAAGAAGAGTTTGGATTTGATATCCCGCCTTTCACTCCCCTTCAGGAGTCTCAAAGCGGCTAACATTCTCCTTTCCCTTCCTCCCCCACAACAAACACTCTGTGTGGTGAGTGGGGCTGAGAGACTTCAGAGAAGTGTGACTGGCCCAAGGTCACCCAGCAGCTGCATGTGGAGGAGCAGAGACGCGAACCCGGTTCCCCAGATTACGAGACTACCGCTCTTAACCACTACACCACACTGGCTCTCTGTGATTCTGTGATTCTATGACTCTGTGAACAAGCATAGGGTTCATTTGGATTTGCAGGTAATTTCTGTTGGGTGCTGTTTTACACAATATTCTTCTTATGATTCTTACAGGTTGTTTGCATGTGTGAACCTGTCTGGACATCAGCCATTCTCTGTCTCTGCTATTACCTCAGTGGTGTTGGGCCAATCAAACTCCTGCTTTAATTTGTTGGAGGGAGTGGGATGTGATGTGCTTTATGTCTATAAATAAAAAGTACTATCTGACTCCTGTAATTTATCTTATTCCCCTGTGACTGTGTCTATCACAACCAAGAACAGTTTAGAGGTTTGTTTTAGATTCAATTTGCATATATCTCTCTATGTCTATGTGCAGTCTTGGATCAGTTGGGTGGGTGGGAGTTATAAAGTGTGACTTTTTCCCATGGTCTGGACTTTTTCCATGAGCCCTTTGAGATTTTGGGTTATGGGATCGTGTCAGTTTGCACAGATTCACACCTGTTTTGTAGGACTTCAAGTGCGACTAAGTGTTGGCTGAGATTCAATAGAATTCTGATCTCAAGGACTCCAATTTCCCCTTCTCAAATTAGGCTTACGTACATGTGTCAAAATACAAACTGGTTGTGAAGCTGTTCTGGGTCAGTAAAAGAGAGAGCAAATCCTCTCTGCAGTTGCCTTCACAAAGACATATAGTAGTTCTGGAGCAAATAGTGTAATGACACATTGAATTGAACTGTGGGGGGATTCATCAAATGAGCCCCAATCAGCAAAAGCCCTGAGGAAGGACTTCTGCTTGCACAATGGGGCTTCCCTCCCTCTTCCCTCCATGCCCCTCCAATTGGCTCTGGGAGGGTTGGAAGAGCCCCCCAGAAGAGCGTACAGGAGGAGGAAATGGGCTGGTTTTACTTTGAATCAGAGTTTTGAACTGGGATCCATTTCAAGTTGCCATTTGTCGAGCCCAATGGGTATGTGCTATTATCATTCACTAATATGATTATTTGCAGCCATAGCCAGTGTGCCAGGCAAGGAGCTGGCAAGGTGGAAGGGGAAGCAAGAGCCCATAGATGTACTATACAGAGCCCCAACATGCTTGCAATTCTATGTCTGTAATGGTCGACCCTGCCCTGCTCCAGAAATAGAAAGACCCAGTTTCTGGATATTCTACAAGATGTTGCTCAATTACTGGAGTAGAGTTGAGTATCCTTTTCCTACACCCTGCAGCAAGAGCTGGTGAGATGATTCACTGGTGAATATCAAGCAAGGATTGAAGGCCAATCAAGGGAGGAGAAGAAGTGTCCTCCTCCCGAGCCATGTCTACCAATCAGAGCGCATGCTGATGTCAACAGCCCATATCCATCCATGGGGCTGTTCTTGCACACTACAGCTTCAGCCCCTTCCTTCACCACCTCCAGCAAGGATATGCATTGTTTTTCTCTCTTGATCAATATATGGCAGCAAACCATCTTACCAACTGTGCCCCTGAGCCTCTAACAACAATTCGATATTCAGACATCATAGAATCATAGAGTTGGAAGAGACCACAAGGGCCATCGAGTCCAACGCCCTGCCAAGCAGGAAACACCATCAGAGCACTCCTGACATATGGTTGTCAAGCCTCTGCTTAAAGACCTCCAAAGAAGGAGACTCCACCACACTCCTTGGCAGCAAATTCCACTGTCGAACAGCTCTTACTGTCAGGAAGTTCTTCCTAATGTTTAGGTGGAATCTTCTTTCTTGTAGTTTGGATCCATTGCTCCGTGTCCGCTTCTCTGGAGCAGCAGAAAACAACCTTTCTCCCTCCTCTATGTGACATCCTTTTATATATTTGAACATGGCTATCATATCACCCCTTAACCTCCTCTTCTCCAGGCTAAACATGCCCAGCTCCCTTAGCTATTCCTCATAAGGCATCGTTTCCTTATGATGTTTACCTTAAGCAGATTCCTACCTATCAAGCCAGTGCTAAAGGTGGAGTGGAAAGTCAATGATTTGTGGCATCATGCCTCATGCTTCTGTTTCTTGCTATATAGTCAAGATGTTCCAAAGCTGTCATCCTAAAACACACTTACTTGAGAGTAAGCTCCCATTAAACTCAATAAACATGCAATGGACTACGTTGCTCACCCCAAAACCTGTTACAGTGTTCATGCTGTGTAACTGGGGGTTCTCCTTTTCAGCTGTAGGATCATTTATAAATTTTGAGCTACCATTTTCAGAACAGCAACAAATGTAGAACCTTCCTAGTCTTAGGTATAAAATAGTAAGGTTAAATCTTCAGGAGAGGAAAAGGCTACCTTGTACACCTCCTGCAGCCAAGCTGGTGCCAAATGTATTGCTTTGCTTTGCTTTCCTTTGGATCATTTTGATGACTTTGGGGTCATTTTGGTGCTACTAATGCAGCAGAAACAATGCAGGAGACTGCAGTTATGAATTATGAGATCAACCTGATTGGTGTATGGTATGAGTGGTATGGGTGGTGCTGTGGTCTAAACCACAGAGCATAGGGCTTGCCGATCAGAAGGTCGAATCCCCACGACGGGATGAGCTCCCGTTGTTCGGTCCCAGCTCCTGCCCACCTAGCAGTTCAAAAACACGTCAAAGTGCAAGTGGATAAATAGGTACCGCTCCAGCGGGAAGGTAAATAGCATTTCTGTGCATTGCTCTGGTTCGCCAGAAGCGGCTTAGTCATGCTGGCCACATGACCTAGAAAAACTGTCTGCAGACAAACACCGGCTCCCTCAGCCTATAGAGCGAGATGAGCGCTGCAACCCCAGAGTCATCCACAACTGGACCTAATGGTCAGGGGTACCTTTTCCTTTACCTTTGTGAGTGCTACAGGTTTACTTCACTAGTAGGAGAAATCATCTTGTCCTGCTGGTCAGCTCCCACTGCCTCACAGTGCTGACCTGTCACTGTCTGCCTGCTTCAATGGGTGCTTGGAGCTCAGAGTATCAATTGACAAGCAATTGACAAGCACCATGCTAAAAAGCTCCTGAACCTGTCTCTACAGCCACAGCGGGCACTGTAACTCTCCAACGGTTTGACTTCACCCCCAAAGGCGCACTCCTCCATTGTTTTGCAATACAGATTAATGCCATCTAAACAAAGGAGTTGCACACAAATACACAAACACAAACACTTCTTAGAAAAATGTGCACATTTCATTTCCTTGACTGCTGACTAGCAAATACAGAGGAGTGAGAATGCTTTCCTTGATAACAAATGCATAAGTAAATGTGTGGGATTTTCTGGCTCAGCATCTCATCCTTCACAAAAGTTTCCATGGCCAGATTACAATGCTCAGAGTGCTAATAATGTCTGCTAGGCAGCCTTCCCTACTGTTCAGAAAAGTTCACTCCTGCAGTGTCTTGGCTTCCAGCAAGAAATCACTGTTGAGGTTAGTGAACTTTTCAGTGTGCTGGTATTTAAACTGTGGTCAGACGGTTCAAAAAGAAAAAGGGAAAGGTTAGTTCTCAGAAAGATACTCCCTGCCTATCCAGCTCTCTTAAGCTGGCTGGAATCAAATATTTCTCAAAAATTGGTTTTTAACATATCTTAAAGAAAATATGGCACATTAAATGGAAAGCTCCTTAAAAGAATGCCGGGATTTTGTTCCCGAGAAACATTTGGGCACTTTTGCTGGGAAAGGAGGTTAAAAGGTTGTCGTTGCTTTCTCCAGGGGCTCGGTCTGACAGTGAACATGTGTTTCCTCCCTTTAATCGGCTCACCAGTAGCCAGAAAGCTGCTTGTTTTCTGCAGAGGTTGTCAAAAATGATTTCGGTCTGGAGACGATGAATGATAAAAGAGGTTTTCAAACACAGTTTTGCACTGTAGCATTCGCAGTCCCAGAGAGGATGGATTGTATTACAATCGCAGTGTAAAGGGCCATGTTCCTGCAACAAGAAAACAGTACCTCCTTCAACCTGTTTGATCCTTCCACTTTTCTCCCCACCCCCCTGCCCCGCAAATCCAAGCCGAAAGCAAAGGCTGGAGCACAATAAAGGGAGAGGTGGCTTTAAAAGCAAGCAGCAAGGTCAACTCACTCTTGAAACTTGATCTCCTGCCCCCAATATTCACTGGGAAATGTGGCGCTTCTTTATAGAGCAAAACACACTTCAGAGGTAGAGGCTTAATTTGTAAAATGAGAAGTGGTTGGATCACTTCCTATTGAAGTTGAGACTTCCAGCAGCATTTCCCCCTTTGCGAGGGTATGGTGAACCCATTAAAATGGTCCATCCCCAGAGGTGAATGGATTTCAGGGAATTCCAAAGGGCTCTTGAGGATTCCCCTGTCGGTGTTTCAAGCATTCTGGTCACAATGTGGAATGCAGAGATGACTCAGGCAGTTGGTAACGCTGCCACCCAACGCTTCTCTCTCCCTCTGAGCAGAGCCCAAGCAGCTCCTTGAGCCGAGAGAATGAAGCAAGAGACAGCTTGAATGCAGATGGAGGAAGACTTGTGTCAAGACCAGTCAAGCACAGGGTTCATTATCAAGCCTATTCCGCAGCAAAGAAAGGGTTCTGCTCCATTTCCAAAGGGGTTGGTGGGCTTTTGCAATCTGAACTGGAGGCACAACATGGGTGCTACTGGGTGGCCCATCTACCCAACTGGATGCTGTTCAACTTGTTTTGAAGGAGGTTGCATTCCCATTCAAGGATCTGGTTCATCGTTGATGGGCGCTCTTAAACCCAGTTGCTGGAGTCACAGGTGGCTTCAAGTGGCTCAACGTGTATTTTATCAGTTTCGACTGACATTCCACCTATGGCCCTATTGGGATGGAAATAGCCTAGCTACAGTTATCCATGCTCTGGTAGCCCCTTGTTTCGATTACTGCAATGCATTATACATGGGACTGGTCCCCCCCAAAAAAAAATTTCAGCTAGGATCAGGGCCATCTTAAGCATATCCAGCACCATGGTGCAAATCTCCCTCCCAGAGTTTTTTAGGGAGGACGGTGCTGCTGGAGGGGCTGGAGGAGGCAGGCAGCGGCTGGAGGACGGCTCCTCTGGCGGGGAAGAAGAAGAAGAAGAGTTTGGATTTCATATCCCGCCTTTCACTCCCCTTCAGGAGTCTCAAAGCTGCTAAGATTCTCCTTTCCCTTCCTCCCCCACAACAAACACTCTGTGAGGTGAGTGGGGCTGAGAGACTTCAGAGAAGTGTGACTAGCCCAAGGTCACCCAGCAGCTGCATGTGGAGGAGCGGAGACGCGAACCTGGTTCCCCAGATTACGAGTCTATCGCTCTTAACCACTACACCACACTGGCTCTCTGGAAGAGGCAGAGGCTGGACACGGCGCCTCCCAACTCAGCTAGCCGATTCATGCCATGATGGCCACGGCAGGCAGAGGCTCCGGGTGCGGCGCTGCTTCGGTACGGCATGGACGAAGCGGACGAGGGCGGCGAGCTGATGCCAGGTGGCATTGCGTCCAGCCTCCGCCTCTTCCCTGGCGCCCTCCAGAACATGGCGCCCTGCGCTACTAGCCTCTATGGGTAAGACTAGGATGTTAACTGGCACTGGCAATACAAGAATATTATTTTATTGGGGTTTTCTGTTTCTTAATTTAAGGCACTTCTAAACCACTATTCATTGAAAGAATTCCCTGAGTGGGGTACATGATATAAAAACACAACGCAGAATAACATCCAGTACACAACCCACCCAGCCCCTTGTGCCGCCTCCTTCCTCCCAGATATGTCTGGCAATATCTGATTTGAGTTTGTTTGCGTTTGCTAACAAAAGCAGGCTATATCTCAAACATCAATGTATTCCTACTTAGGAAACCTGAACATGGTACTGGACAACGTGTTCCCCACCCCAACCATCTGATTTTAATTATAATTTAAACTACATAATGAGGTCACTGCACGATCCCTCAACATGTGTGATCTACAAAGAAATATCCTCTTCTGGATGACAAGGAAAGCTTTCTAATCAGTTGATAACTCGTTTCACACAGTCTTTCCAAACCTAAAAATGAATCAAGCACATGCACCCCAAACTCTCATCCCCCTGATAAAGTCTGGTCTTGATGAATTTCTGCGCAGCCTCTGGAAATGTCGAGGCTACGCATTATCCTGATCTTCCCTCTCCTTAAACATAACACTCAAAAGCTTCTTCTCTTTTAAGGCATCAACACCCATTCAAAACATTTTAATTCCTTCCAGCTCTTCCAGCCTCCTGGAATATTTGGCTAGTGTCATAGAGATTTGGCTAAATGGGTTCAATCAACTGTTTTCAGCCTATTATAGTTCATAATCCCTATTCAAGATGAAGTGTACTGCAGCCTAATGAATGTGGTAATGGAATCCTTGTGTATAAATTTCCACAGCGGGGTGCAGATTAGCATAAGTGTCATATTCTGTTGCCATGCCTGCTACAGTATCTGAAGAAACTGCACTTGCTGGGATTAAAAAGCTGGATAATAGTAAGATCGATGTGGTATACATGTATGTAAAAGAATGAAATGCTTTTAGAAAAGGCTCTATAACTGATCTCACCTGGAGAAGCATTATGGATAGATTAGCACCGCACTTTGCCTCTCTGTTAAAGCCACATGTATAAAAATACAAATACGGGAGAATTAGGTTACGCCTGTGCCACAATTTTAAATAATGTACCATTGCAGGACCACCAAGCAGCTAGTAGAATAAAGCTCCACAGCATTCTCTAGTTTCATATAGTCATATATAACATAGTTTCAAACTTGGCTCAATCATCACACATCGCCACATCTAATGATGTTCTGGCTCTGGAGCATGACACATTGAGAAAGGTAATATTTTTGATAGTGTAACCATCATAATGTACTCTCTTCTTTAGACAGTCCCAGCTTGGTTGCCAAAGCAAGGTGGGGAAGAAAGATTTCTTCCTCCTTTGAATAAATAGCCCGTCATAATGAGAGCTAAATCATATCCTCCTTCATTTTTTATCAGAAATCACTTAACAACAAGAGAAGTCCATAAAACAAAACTCAATGTAGGTTTCAGAGTCCACGTTTTGACCCTATGAATTGAACTTTTTGAGTCGAATGCATGCATCTTTAATTTCTCAGGTATTTTATTTTTAATAAGGCTGGAGGAAAGTCCTGAAGAATCTCTTTGCACATGCATAGAAAAGATACCACTTATGATTAGTCCCAGAATTTATTACTTGATTATGAAAAATGCGAGCCTGAGAAAAATGCATACCACTTAAGCAGCGGTTTAGTGTGACTAATCAAAGAGGTTTTCCTGGCACACGGGAGGTATGAATATATAGAGGACTGGTTGAGAAAAGCATATCTTTGTGCTTTTAAGCATGGTGGCATGGTAACAGCATAAGCATATTAATCAGTCTGAGGTAAGTGCAGCTTCTGGGTCATATTTTAATCTGATTCTTTCTGCTGTATTAAAGGAAATTATAGCAGTAACAGGAATAGCATTTCACAAAGAAATTGTTTGCCAAGTTGCTGAGACAATCAAACCAGTTACTGGGAGTTTTGGATTAACTGTGAATCTCATTTTCCTTTATTATCAGCACATTTCCATGTAACTATCATAGCCCGGGTTATTTAATGTTAACTAGAAAATAATATAGTCCTAGAATATTGGTGGGGAGGCCTGCTTCCAGCATGACCTTCAAAATGTGGTTGCAACAGGAGCTGGAAATCAAGCGAATCATGTGAATATCTTACACATGGGGAAAGTCATTTTTGTGAATGGGTTCAGATGCAGCATGGGACAGTTTTTAACTGTGCCAATGAAATCCAGTGAAAGAGGAAACCCCCAGGATTGTTAGTTAGCCCAAAGCAAATGGGAGACACTTATCACAAACAGCATCCAATACAGAAAGGATTCTAAGTAATCCCTCATTTCAATAGCAAATGGAGCTGGCAGCAGGCACTCCTGGCCACTCTGGATCACAGGCACTCCTGGCTACTCCTGGATCTAGTGACAATGCTAGATTCAGAAGTACCCCCAGACTACATACCTGATCCTTTAGGAGGAGCGTAGCCACCCCAAGAACAAGCCGTCACCACCCTGATTACCAACCCTGATGAGAAGACCCAATTGCACAGCTTCTTTCTTGCCTGGGTTCAGACTCAGTTTATTGGTCCTCATCCAGCCCATTGCCACCTCCAGACAGTGTCCCGTCACCACCAAAGCCTCACCAGATTCTGGCATCATGGAGAACTAGAGCTGTGTGTCACCGACATATGGGTGACACCCTTCTCCCTTGCTCCTGGTGACCTTTCTCAGTGCCTTCATATTTAATGGGATATAAGATCGAGCCTTGTGGAACCCCACTGCACAACTGCCAAGAAGTTCCTTTGGTGCTACTCATTGGAAATAGCCCTTCAGGTAGGACTGGAATCCTTGGGTCACCATACCTCCAACTTCCAACCCACAGAGCTGCTCCAGAAGTATACCACAGTTGGCGCTATCAAAAGATCAATCAGGGCAGCTAAGGTCATTTCAGTATCAAATCCAGGCCTGAAATAAGATTGAAATGGTCCAGATAATCCATTTCCTTAAAGCACACCTCAAGTTGGCTGACTACCTTGTCCCAAAAGAGGATATTTGCAACCAGGTGGTAGTTGTTGCACCATCACCTCTTTTAAGCAGTAAAGCTGGCAGAGAGAGCACCGTATCTGGGGAGAGGGGCAAGGCATCTGGGAAGTCTTCTTTGTGTAGGAACAGCAGCAGAAAAACCAGATTGGCTCTACCACTGCATCCACACCTTGCCAACTTCCCCACCTTGTCCCCTCTGCTGCATGGGGGCACCTCTCCCTGACAGCCACCCCCACTTTCAAGGCAGCCAGGCAGTACCACGCCTCCCTGCAAAGAAGCATGAACCACTCAGTCAACCTCTTTCCAGCTACAGGGCCATATGGGCAAGGATCAAGGGTACACGAGGTGGGCCAAATTCCTTCGAGTGTCTTGTTCACATCATTAGGTCCCCATCAGAACTAAATCTGACCCCACTCAACTTGACATTGGGCATCTCCTCTAGACCTGTATCAACTGCAGATCAGAGGAAATGTGAGTGTCTCTGCTATAAAAGTGCTTGCCGATTTGTCACAGGGTGGCTGCTCACCAGACAGCAGTTTGTTCTAAGGGAGCAGCTTACCTGACCTACCTTTCGAAATTGTTCTATTTTTTTTCCAAAAAATTTTTTATTGGTTTTCACAACATTGTAAACAAACAAACACATAAGACAAACAAACATAAATCATAGCCTTGTTGAAAATTACACTTATTAACATTGTTAAATGACTTCCTTGCTTCTCCTTGGTTGAATTTCATTGCATATCCTTTTAACGGTTTTCCACATCAGTGTTCTTATAAAATTTAACTTAAACATTAACTTCCTTAGATCTTCACATTATGAAATTAAACATATTAATTCATCACTTAACATAAATAAAATCCTAAGCCAATTAAGTATCTGCAAGCTATTTTCAGTTAATTTAACTTAACATATTTAACTAAGTAATCATTAAATTTAATCCACTCTTCCTGATACTCCTCCTCCTTCTGGTCGTGGACTCTTCTGGTTAGGTCGGCTAGCTCCGAAAAATCCATCATCTTCACCTGCCATTCTTCTATCGTTGGTAATTCTTGGGTTTTCCACTTTCTAGCTAACAAAATATGAGCAACAGTTGTTCTAAATTGTTCTAAAAGCTACAGGTACCTGCGGTTAGGTGGGCAGGTAAAGGTTTTTAATGGCACTCCGAAGTGAAAAGACAGTGAAACGTGCTCGTCAACTTTAACCACGCTCATTTCTCAGTATATTCCATTGAAACCAGTGGGAAATTCAAGGAAATAAGTTGTATATTGAAGTGCCAGCTCTGTCTTGCTTGTGCGTCACACATTTCAGTGGAAACAAGCTTCCTGGTAACTCCATGTGGCTCATTAAAGCAATCCTCACATCTCTTAAAAACAAGGAAACACTAGAATCCCACTGAAGTCCAAGTACCCCTTCGCAATGGGATGCCTCCTAGCATGCAGCGTAAGTGACTGGGTGGCAAGAACATTTTAGGCTCTGAGGAAAAAGGTTGTTAAGTCAACCTTGGTAACTTAACTGAAACAGTATATGTGTAAATCCATCGCAAATCCCTGGCCTTTTACAACTTTTGTCCCTATGGAAATCAGATCATAAGACTGTTTACAAGAGACTACGATTCATTTGGCTAAAGAGCCATGACAGCAGGACCCTTAGTCTTATTTGGAATTGCAGTAACTTAATCTTAGGCAAATAGCCCGAAAGCAAAATAATAAGGATTAGGTAATTATGGCAAAGTAATCACTTTCAATATTTCATATTCAAAGAAGGGCATAATTTCACTGTAAATGTCATGTTTTGGCATTTTGGCAATCTGTTGCAATTTTTCACAATGTTTAACAAAATGTCAACATTTCCACCTTTATTCCTCCTTCAGATTTTGAGATTTTTGAGCTGCAGTCTTTTAAACCATTGAAAGCAGCATCATAAAAATATTTTACTGCATGGCTTAATGTATGAGCTAATCCTAAATTAATGGTCAGTTTTAGCCATTATATTCCAGAAAAAAGGGAGGGATATCTTCACAAATCCTCTGTTCAGAAATAATTACCTCTTCCAACTGGAGTAGAAATGGGTGCTTTAAAAATCCAGTAGTAAAGGCCCATAATATTGGCATTTGGAGCGAATACAGTTTGATCAGCACTTTGATTAATCTTCCCAAGATCATCATATATATCCATATGCTTGGGAGCATCATCTACATTGGACACGTTGTATCTTTCTTTTTTCCACCACAAATCTCTTAGAAATATTTACTGCAAACAGATGGGTGTAAAATATCGGCCTGAAGGAGTTGCCTTAAAAATTCTGTCTTTGAAAAACATTAACGTTTCACTACATAAAACGTTCCAGTTAATTTTTGTAAACTGTGAACTAGAGGACAGACTGTTCTTTGCCATTTTCTTTTTTAAAACCAACACCTTCCCTAATTATCAACATTCTCTGAATCTGGCATCCTATGTTTCTCTTTATGCCATTATAATCCTGTATAGTTTTCTTAGATTGCATATTTGTTAGCTTTTTTCGTAAACTGCCTTTCTGTCCAGCACAATACATGACTTACAACATGTAAGAACTTCAAAATAGATAATTGTATATACACTGGTTATACTGAAATTGAGAGACTTTGCCTTGGTACATCTTATAAGGTGGGTTTTCTATGATTTCTAGTCTTCCCAGCCTTATATGATACTCATTATACCACAGCTTGGCAGAACTTATCACACTTTTTCCCCTAAAAGGTTGCAAACAGCCTTGTGATATGCTGTCCATAGGGATGAAAGTTGCAAAAGGGCCAGGGATTTGTGGTGAATTTACAGGTACGCTCAGACTAAGAGAGCAGCAATTTTTTTAAGGGAAGAGAATTTTCTGATTGTGAAGCAGCACTAATGTTCACCAGCTGCTTGGGAATGATAAAGTCCAACGAGTGGACTCACTTTTTTGGAATGCAGGTAAGCTCATCCACCAGTGGCTACGATGGCTTCAGCCGGGTTCCCCGCCCCCGGTGTAGGGACTCGTCCAAAGCTTGCTTCTTATTTCTCAGTTCAAACCCCCAAAATAGGGAATGTCAAATTGTTCATTTCCTAAAATAAGTCATTGTAGTGTTGCGGCCCAGAAACCTATTCTTTTCAGCCAGCTCAGTGGGAATGAGTATCGTTTGCAGCTGGATTTGCATGTTCTTATTGCTGCATGCAAAAAGACTCCAAGACTATTTATTAAGCCCTTAGGCTCAACTCTTGTCAGTTGGTTTTCCTCCAGCCATAGTTATGCTTTCAGAAGCTCATTAGTGACTGGGTACTGTAGCAGCTCCTTCACTCCACAAGCCCTTGTATAATAAACTTGTGCCCACAATGCAAGGCAATCTATATTTTCTTTAAGATGGTTTTTTCTGGCTTTTCTAGGATGCATTGCAAAATGAGGAGCAGAAATGAAAATTAAGGGCGAATTTCTTGTTCTCAGCCATAGGGCTGGCACTCATGACATTTTGCTGCCTGAGCCAAAACGTATCTCCCTCCCTCGCCTTCTCCCTCACACACAGAAGTCAGTCACACTGGAAGCCAACTCTTACCTTAACCCTGGTGATGGAACTGTGTCCTCCACTTCACCAGAGGGCACTAGGTGAGTTTAGGGGTCTCAGGGCAGCCAACATAGTGTACACCTCACCACCAGTCACTCACTGATCCATCTGGCAGCTGCTCACTGTCTACTTGCTCAGACAAATGCTTTAATTCACCAGCAATGGTGTGTCAGTGGGGGTCACATAAGCAGAGCAAGGTAATAATAAAATAATAATAATAATAAATTTTTATTTATACCCCCCCTCCCCAGCCAGAACCGGGCTCAGGGCGGCTAACACCAATAAAATTACAATAAAACGTAATGGGGGTCAGTTAATTAAAATACGGGTTAAAATACAATTTAAAATGCAACTTCATTTTAATAGTAGCCCATAAATCAAAACCATAAGGGGAGGGAAACATGAGGGTCAGGCTGACTCCAAACCAAAGGCCAGGCTGAACAGCTCTGTCTTGCAGGCCCTGTGGAAAGATGTCAAGTCCCGCATGGCCCTGGTCTCTTGTGACAGAGCATTCCACCAAGTCGGGGCCAGTACTGAAAAGCCCCTGGCCCTAGTTGAGACCAATCTAACCACCTTGCGGCTCGGGACCTCCAAAGTGTTATTTGTGGACCTTAAGGTCCTCTGCAGGGCATACCAGGAGAGGCGGTCCCGTAGGTACGTGGGTCCTAGGCCGCATAGGGCTTTAAAGGTCAAAACCAGCACCTTAAACCTGACCCTGTACGCCACTAGGAGCCAGTGCAGCTGGTAAAGCACTGAATGAATGTGACCCCGTGGCAAGGACCCTGTAAGGAGCCTCTACACCCGCTGGAGTTTCTGGGTCAGCTTCAAGGGCAGCCCTGCATAGAGCAAGTTACAATCATCAAGCCTGGAGGTGACCATTGCATGGATCACTGTGGCCAGATCAGGGCGAGAAAGGTAAGGGACCAACTGCTAAATACGGCGGAGATGGAAAAATGCCACCTTTGCTGTGGTATGCACACACATGAGACCAAGTAGAGCACATGACTTGGATTAGCTGCCTCTGCCAGAATAAGATCTTCTTTGTATTCTTCCGTTCCTAACACACACACACACACACACAAAACCCCAAGTACTTGTCTATTAGGATTGTGTCTAAGGAACATTTGTTTCTGTTTGCGTATGTGTAGGCTAAGCATTGGCAAGGTGCCCTCATGCCTGTAAAAGTCTGTTTCTTTAACTTCATTAAGCGTTTACAATTGAATTTTGCGAGTGGTGGGTTTACTGGCAATTCAGCCTGAGCGGCTGCCAGTGTTTTCAATCACTGCAGTACAGTGAGTGTACCAATCGAGTCGCTTGATCTTCCTTTCCAGGTTCTTGCAATTACTTGCAGTTCAGGATCTGGGTCCTTTAAAACTGCACGGCCTCATTGCTGGTCAGAATCTCCTCCTGGCTGTAAAGTGCAGAAGAGTGTTTCTGCTGCCAACAACTCAACTTTTGTATTCATTTTTAAAATTTAGATTTCTTTTTTCTTATAGGTTTTTTATTGTTAAAATCTCAGCATAACACAATTTCAGCAAAACAATTTATATCCAACTTAACAAGCTCTCAACTTCAAATGCAATATTGCATAAAAGGTAACATTATAAGGGTGTTTCTATGGGCACTTTAACCCCACTGTTCAGAAAATTCCCTACCCATAACTTGCATTTCATATTAGCTTATTTCTATTACAACATTCAATAACCCATGTCCATCTTACCATAAAGTTAGAATTCACACACACACATACATATACATATACATATACATATACATATACATATACATATACATATACGTACATGCATGTGTTCACGTATATATATTTCTTTGTGTGCTTTTCTCAGCATATTATAAACAGTGATTTTTAAGTTCTGGTAGAAGGAAAAGTGGTTAGGGTCATGGAGTGCAGCTAAGCCCACCCACCATCTGGCCCATACCATTCCAAGATACCTCTCTGATCAAGTTTTAGCTCTCCTTGAGAAGCGCACTACTGTTAGAGGACCTGGGCCAGAAACTCTATTCTGTATGTAGACACAGTGGGTATGTTCATACTGTTGAGCTTACAGCTGGATATGCTCCTACCGCTATATGATTTGAACTTGATGAGCGACAGTTCGGTGTTAAATTACTGCTATAAGATCCAGCTGTAATTTACTACTGTGTCCCCTGGGATGCTTGAAAGAGACAGCAAGGATTCAGGATTAGAGAGTGATGTATTTTGCCTTCCTGAGCAGAAAGAATTGATCGGAGCACCTTTTTTGAAAGATGCACTCCTCCTTTACTTTGCAAAGTAAGAAAGCAGATAATTTATTTTTTTCCCTAAGCCTAGGAGCAAACCGAGAAAGAACAACAGTAATTTACTCCACATGGAAGTGGCAGTGTGAAAGAGCACAAACATGGAGCGTTGGACTTCTGAAATCCTGGCTGCAGAAAGCAATCAGGGCTGGGAAAGGGCAGAGCAAAAGCACCCAGAGTTCCATCGGAGGAGCGGCTAGGTTGCTCACTGAGCCATGAGCCTTGCAGAACAAAGGGAAGAATCAGGCTGTAGCCGAATGTGGCAGAAAGGGCTTGCACACCTGCCTGGCGCTGCTGCCATCTTTGCTCAGACCTCAGCTGTGAGTAGGGAGGGATGAAAGCACCTGTTCTCCTCCTCTCTCCCCAAATTCTTTTCTGCCCTAACTCTCTGTGTGGCTGCAGAGAATTCTGTGGGTGATTCTCCTTGATGGGTGTACCTAGCTGAGTTAAGAACAGCACACACACTGACCCAAAAATCTATTTCATGTGCACTTGCATTAGTGATTTTCACTCCTACACAAATAGACTTATCATGGTCCAGGTTGAGGTCTCAATGGGGAGAAAATTACTCCTGGGTGTGGATTCCTCTCTTATAATATCAGAGAAATTCTCCTCCTCCTCCCTACTGTGTAGTCCTGAAATGCTAAAACAAGTGAACACATAATTTTCCCTTTAATAATGTGACTATAGCTCTCTAACACTGACTGTTTAACATTTTTGCCTGCACCATATTGGATGAATAATAGAGATGCTCTCCATTTGGCTATTATGCAATACTCCTTTTAGCTCAGATATACTCTTTGGATTTTGTGTGTGTTTATGTTGTAGAACTATTGAAACAAAACTTTTCTTCCAGCTTTGCATTCTGTTCCTCTTTGAAGCCCAAACAAATTAGCAGAGTTGAGAACTTTACTTTCAGGGTTCATTAAGCCTTGAGCAGTAAATCCTTTTCTCACATTCCAGATGTTGCGGTTTCTTTTGACCTCAGTTTATATTTCCCTGTGATGTGACTAAGCCAGCATCTTAGTCTGTATATGTATTTTTTTTTCTCCTTTAAGGGCCAGGGAAAATTAGACACACCTAAACTGCAAGGACCCTTTAGAGAGGCTAACAAACAGAAGAATGCAATATCATTTTTATTCTTATTAGTTAATTTGAAATCATGATGAAGTTCCTCCACTCTTCGAGACTGCTGCAGTCTGGCAGGCAGCAATTGTGAATTCAGTGTATTTTGACTAATATATTTTTCATCCACTTCTCATTTCTACCAAAGTACTTAAAAGTTTCTCAGGTACTGCTCTCCTCAGCATGAGCATGTTTAAAATGTAGCCCTTGAATAAATAAAGCATGTTATTTAGAGAGCATTTCCAAGTCCATACAGTACATTTCTTTCAGGCTGTAACCCTAGACTTTTATGCACATGTTTAACTTTATGCATATGGGTAGTCAGAATGGATTTGATGCCACAACTTATCTTGATAGAGGGAGCTTTCATGATGCATCTGGGCAGAGGGACTTGGGGGGGTCAGGAATGGATGCACTTAGTACAAAATTATCTCTCCAAACCACCCACCCATGTACACCCTTGTGGTGCTCAAGACTCTTAACCAATCCAGACCAGACAGAACTGTCTAAGAATACAAGAAGGGCCTTGCCTAGGTCAGATCAAAGGCCTATCAAGCCTAGTAGATGGCTTCAGCTAAGGGTTAATGTTGAGAAAATAACATAGTATGTAGAGGAGGTGCTCTGATTGTAGCCCAGTATGGTTATCTCCCGCTTGAACTACTGCAATGTGCTCTATGTGGGGCTACCTTTGAAGGTGACCCGGAAACTACAACTAATCCAGAATGTGGCTGCTAGACTGATGACTGGGAGCGGCCGCCGAGACCACATAAAACCAGTCTTGAAAGACCTACACTGGCTCCCAGTACATTTCCGAGCACAATTAAAAGTGTTGGTCCTGACCTTTAAAGCCCTAAACAGCCTCGGTCCAGTATACCTGAAGGAGCATCTCCACCCCCATTGTTCAGCCCGGACACTGAGGTCCAGTGCCGAGGGCCTTCTGGTGGTTTCCTCACTGCGAGAAGCAAAGTTACAGGGAACTAGGCAGAGGGCCTTTTTGGTAGTGGCACCCGCCCTGTGAAATGCCCTCTGTTACGTTGTGGGCGAACATGTCAGACGACACAGCGATTCTTTAAACGGCTCTTCTTTATTCAGATGCCAGAACAGAACTAGCTGAGGAGCTCAGTCAGCCTGCTTATATAGAGCTCCAGAACAATGCAACTGTTGCCATTTTCTAAAACTATCCAGTCACTGAACGTCACTTTTCGATCCTTCATTTGCATACAAAACTATCCAATCACTGAACGTCACTTTTCGATCCTTCATTTGCATAACTATCTACAGTATCCCCCTGCTGGCCCAGGGTGAGAACTTCAGTACATAACACCCCTCCCCACCGAGATAAGGCGTTAGTTACAATCGTAATGGTTTCCTTATATACAGCACGACACGTAATGGTTTAATTAGGCACAAAAGCATATCGGTTACATTTCACATACTTAGACCAACAGTGATACATGTCCAACAACATAGTCCTTTAAATAAGTTGGGCGCTTGGAAACTCTGCCAGACCGCCGGGGACCGGTAGCCAAGTCCGGGGGGCCACACAATTCTTGCTGAGGCTGTGGTGCGACCCTAGGTGGCATTGAAACCAAATCCCCTGGATCCGCTGCTGTGGGTGCAGCCTCCGCAAGTGGAGTGGTCTGAGCCTGTGGTAAGTCTGGCAGACCCTCTGAAGTGGCTTGGTTCGACTCCATGCTGGCAGTTTGCAAGGGAGGTGTAGGTGGAGCCTCGCCATCTGTAAGTGTCTCTTCTGGAGCCACGAGTGCAGTTGGGGGCACCACGGTAGTGTCCAAGTCCCCAACCCTGTGCCTAAGCTGGTCTATGTGCCGGCGCCACAAGCGTCCGTCTTCGAGTGCCACCTGGTACGAGCAAGGTCCAGTGACTCCCACTACTGTGGCTGGCACCCAAGAAATGTCCCCCACACAGTTCCGGGCAAAGACCTGGTTTCCTGGAACAAAAGGCACAGCCTGGGGGTTCGGCCACGGCAAAGTCCGGGTGCAGCCGGTCGAGCGGTGACCTGAGGCAGCGGCCCATAAGCAGTTCAGCAGGACTCTGCCCTGTGGCCGCATGAGGGGTGATGTGTTGCACGAACAAGTATTCGGTGACCCGCGAGTGCCAGTCTCCCCGGTCCAGGCGCGCCAGTGCCTCTTTTGTGGAGCGCACCATTCTCTCCGCTTGCCCGTTGCTGGATGGATGAAATGGTGCCATTAGGGCATGGCGGATGCCCAGTCCCAAAAGATACCGCTCAAAAGTGCCTGACGTGAACTGCGGTCCGTTGTCGGAGACAAGGACATCAGGACACCCATGCGTCGCAAACAGGCCTCGCAGCACCCGGATGACGGCCTCGGTAGTGGTGGAGGGCATCAGGGCCACCTCCAGCCATTTGGAATAGGCGTCCACCACTACCATAAAGGTCCGGCCGTGAAAAGGGCCGGCCAGATCGATGTGCACCCTCGACCAGGGTGTCTTGGGCGTCTCCCAGGTGTGTCCCTTAGCTACCGGTGGTGCAGGCCTCGATTCTTGGCACGCTTGACAGGCGGACACCCAGGCAGTGATGGCATCGTCCATGTTAGGCCACCAGACGTAACACCGAGCCAACGCCTTCATTTTGACGATTCCCAGATGGCCAACGTGCAGAGCCTCCAGGACGCGTTGACGGAGTCTTTGGGGAATCACGACGCGGTCTCCCCACAGCAGACAGCCACGATGAGCCGAGTTCATGTTGTCTGGTTGCGAAGGGCTGGAACTCTGATGCAAAAGGCCCTTGTGGCCACCCCCTCCACACCCAGTTGAGCAGACAGCTGATGGTGCGATCCTGGGCAGATGCGGAGGCCACAGTGGCATCCGATACAGGCGCTGCCAGAAGATCCTCAATCAGGAGGAGCGATGAAGCTGGAGCCGGGTCTTCCACAAACGCTGGAAGAGGGCAATGGCTGAGGGCGTCAGCATGGCCCATTGATTTCCCTGGGCGATGGACGAGCCGGTAGTGGTAGGCAGCCAGGAAAACAGTCCATCGCAGCATGCGTGGCGAGAGGACCGGTGGAGTTGGACTATCACCGGCGAGGAGGCCCAGGAGCGGCTTGTGGTCAGTGATGAGGTCAAAAGTTCTGCCATAGAGGTATTCATGGAACCTCTTCACTCCAGCCACAAGTGCCAGTGCCTCCTTGTCGAGCTGGCTGTAATTCCGTTCAGTCAGAGATAGCGTCCTGGAAAAGTAGGCGAGCGGTGCTTCTCTTCCGGCTGGAAAACGGTGACTGACTCTTCCGGCTGGAAAAAGGTGAGGCGCCGCAGGCAAGGACCAGCGGCCTGGCTTCACTGTACTGTACCAGCACACTGTCCAATGAAAGGAGAGCCTTGACCGCGTTGAAGGCCGCCGTCTCCCGATGACC